ATACAGTCACTGCACACACCGGGGATCACTTGCGTTAAGCCATTAGTCAACACATATTTATTGATTATTTTTTTCCTCTTCCCCACCTCATTAGGTCTCCCTCACGCCACAAGTCGTTTCCCAAGACCAGTCTTTAGCAGTTAGATTGGTCTCAGGCGTTGCGTCCCTTTGCGACAGACTGCATATTGTAGGTGAACGCAACAGACAATTTGCATATAGCAATGTCCCACAAACAGCCATGGGCCAAAGTTTATCTGAGGGAATGTTGGCCGGGACACAAGGAGAAACTCAATTTTCTTTTTGAATCGTGTCATCTTTAAAGTCCACCTAAACTTGGACTCCTCCAGCAATGTAATGTCTTCCTGTGTCCTGAGCAACAATCCCCAGACAAAACTGGTCATTCACTTCCTGGCTTTATAATAATAATTGCATTTGATACAACGCCTTATCTGGAATGTATTGCCTGAAAGGGTGGTGGAAGCCGATTCGATAACAACTTTTAAAAGAGAAGTAGATAATTATTTGGGGAGGACAAGTTTGCAGAGCTATGAGGGAGAGCGCGGAGGAGTGGGATTGAATTGGATAGCTCTTTTCAAAGAGCCGGCACCTACACGATGGCTTCCTTCTGTGCTGTATAATTCTATGATCTTATTGCGTCGTTGAGACGTCTAAAGACGCTTCACAGAATATACTGTTTCTCCCACAAAATATACAGTCAATTCACTTTACAGTATATTCTGTGAAGCGCTTTGAGACTGGTTGAAGACATGAGAAGGCGCCGTACCAAATGCCAGGATTATTACACTGTAAAGTGGATTGACTGTATATTTTGATTGTTCTTAGCAGGTTGGGTTTTGGGCAAAGAAACAAGACAGTCACATGTTAAGGCCCAGGGCTCTTTAATCTTTGAAATCTGTTGAAACGTGATGGCCAGGCTCCTGCGTTATTGCACTGATATTAATTCCTCTCTCAACAGAGAGAATGTAGGTTTGGGTTACCTTACAGCACACACAGCAACAAATCCAATTGTGAAACATGATCTATGTTTCTGTAGTTCTGGGGATTACTCCCGCATTTCAGGGTGTGTTTTTTCAGGTCCGCTGGACAGTTTAGCCTTGCCACGATTCCTAAGTATGTGTTGACGGGTCATTTTTCAGACCCACAACCCCATAAAATACTGATTTGACACATGCTCTAAAATGCAATAGGCAAGTGATATATAGTTAGGCAAACATGTATTGCATTGTACTGTGCACCAAATGTGTATTATATTTCTCTCTCTCCCTTCCCCCTGTACTGTACCCATAAACACTCATTTTATCTGCACTTTTTTTAAAAAGCAAATCAAATTAGAGGCTTATTTTTCTGCTTTTGTTTTGTGTTTGTCTCGTACAAGACGTCACGCTTGCATTAAAAGAATGTCACGGTGACAGGGACAAACAATAACCTTTGTGCATTTACCACTGCTTTAAAGATCATGCCCTGGTCTGTTTAATAAGCAAACGCAATGCCTTCATAATCATCATTTGATTAGCTTGCGACTGCTATTTATCACAATGCTTTCTGTTCCTGTCACACAGTATGTTTGGTTCCAGATACATATTTAATAATAATGATCCGTGCATTTAATATTGCGCCTTTCCCATCGGGAGGACATTTCAAATACACAGTCACTGCACTTCACAATAAAACCCTGTGAAGCGCTTTGGGATGTCCTCCCGACATGAAAGGCGCTGTACCAAATGTAAAGATTATAAACGTACTAAATCACTGCAGCCTTATTTAAAAATAAGCACATACGCACTGATTTTGTTGCTAATTTGTCATAGTAATTGCTCAATGCTACCTACCATCTTTTTAATGTATTAAATGGATATAACTTCTTGGCTACATACTTTATGGTTAATAAACACCATTACATACTGAAAGAATTTGGTGTTTAGATCTCGGCTAATATTTAATTGAGAATGAAGGTCATTGCATATTTTTAGCACTGCCCTTTTTCTGGGATGTGTTGTTCCCCTTCCCTCCTAACAAACCTGAATTCCACTCCTCTTTCATGCCAGCCATTAAGTACCCTCCAGATTGCTTGCTGTGGAGCTGGAGTTGCATGGTGTGCAGGCTCCAATGTGCAGGGCCAGACAAGGAGGTTCTCTCGCTGCTTAGCAGCTCAGATGAGGACCAAATAAAACCCTCGATGTGGCCGGTGTTTAAATACAGGAGCATAAGGCGCCAGGAGAACTTAACTCTGATCCCCGTAAGAGGGTGTGTGTGTGAAGAGGTTGCAGATTATAAATCTATGGCCTCCTGCAGCTGGGGAGATCGCGTGCCAATCAATCAATAGAGCGTTAGTAGGTGTATCCTTGTCGTGGGATAAAGAGTAGGATTTGGCTTCAAGCCACTCCAGAGAGTGAGTTCTTCACACTTTTCATTGCCACTGGGAGACAGCTTGGACAGCATCTTTGTGCTATCATTCACCGGGAAGGAGAGGGATGATTGCGATGGATTTCTCCAGCCTATACTTAAACACCTGTTTGATGTTCAAATGAGAGGGTGATGGGGTGGGTTTGCTAGATATAATCAAATGGATCAAAGGACTTCTATCACCCACAACTTCACATGTGATCTTAATGATTTGTGTAAAGAGGAGTTCAATAATAATTCAATAATAATAATTATTCACAGAGTACGTGGCAAAATGGATTGACTGTGTAGCTTGTGCACGAAATGCGGCAGCCAATTTCGCACAGCAGTGTCTCACAAACAGTATTGGATTGAGTCACCAAATTATTTTTTGAAGGGATTATTTACTCCTGGAAAGTGATCCGCCAATTGTCTAACAACCGGGATCCAACTTACTGCTGGTAAACAGAGGCATGTAAATGCAAGTCGGTTGTTGCTGACACTTTTCAGGCTTATGAATTAGTCGCCTCTGAGCTCACGAGTGAGATGGTTATGTTGCAGCGTAGTCATTTGCAATACAGTAACAAATCACGATCAGCAATGAACTGAAATAAAATGAAGCAAGCGATAGGACTTGGGTTTGATTCCCGAGCAGCGCAAAAGGTTGGGTAAGTTTCCTTATTCTACACACAAAAAACTACAACAAATTACATTTCTATAGTGCCTTTCGAGTCAGGCAGACATCCCAAAGCGCTGATTACCTAGTAGTAAGTAGAAACCTGGTTGTTAGTCGATAGGCGGATCGCTTTTCCAGGGTTAATAATCCCTTCAGGACAAAATGAAATTGGGCAAAATATGAAAAATTAAGTTTAAACCCAATAAACTGGCTGTGTAGTTTCGAATTTTGATTTGTTGCTAATGGAATTTCGAAGAAGGCAGATAAAATATTCAGGTGCAACGTGAAAGTTGCTTCACATTATGATATGGGAGGAATCAAAGAATTTGGTGTTTAGATCAGTCAGACTATGATGAAATTGATACAGTGACGCATGTTTAAATAAGTTGCTTGTCGATCTTTGAATGTGGGGTTCAGCGCCTCTCTCAAACAGGCTCTTTTTAGCATTTAGTCAGTTGGTGCTCTCGTTGGATGTACTCTGTGAATTATAATAATAATAATAATAATAATAATAATCCTTGCATTTGATATCGCGCATTTCACGTCTTTGAGACGTCTCAAAGCGCTTCGCAGAATAGACCGTAAAGTGAATCAACTGTAATATTTTGCGGGCAAGACGGAGGGAAGGTGACGGAGGGAGGAATCTTAACAGATATCCAGCCGCAAGTAGGAACCCAGTTTGCCGATCGGCAGATAGCCTTCCGGGGGGTTACTAAACCCCTGTGGAGTCCTGTAGCTCAGTGGTTAGAGCACTCGCTTTGCAAGCGAGAGACCTGAGTTCAATTCCAGGCAGAGGGCGAAACCTTGGGCAAGTTTCCTTACTCCACACAGAGCCTAATAATAATCCCTCCAAAACCAAAAACAATAATAAATTGGTCATTTTCAATCTACGACTGTTTGTGGGACATTGCTGTGCGCAATTGGCTGCCGCGTTCGCCCACAAATACACAGTCAATTCACTTTACAGTGTGTTCTGTGAAGCGCTTTGGGACGTCCTCCCGACGTGAAAAGCGCTATATCAAATGCAAGGATTATTATTATTATTATTATTATAAACCCCTCCAATTAAAACAAAATAACAATGTGGTCGCTTCAATCCCACGACGGTTTGCGGGCCGCTGCGGCGTGCAATTCGGCTGCACAAAATATACGGTCAATTCCCTTGACAGCCTATTTCTGCGAAGCGCTCTGAGACGTCCAGAAGACCTGATCAGGTGTTGTTGGATGAAATGGGAGGATTTATTGTTTCCAGTCTGTCATTAATGTTACATGTCACGTACAGTGCGTGGTTACGTTCGTACGTGCCCCCTCCGGACAACTCAGCCCCGCCCCCCCCCCCGCTCCTCCACGTGCTTTTCACATGGCATTAAAAAAAAAGCCAGCCCCCGCCCCCTCCTCATCCGATTGGACAGCGGGTTCGACTCCGCCTCCCCCTCGCTCCCCCCCCCCTCCGCCAACCAAACACAAGCCACCTGGCTCCGCTGACGTCACGTGTTGCTGGGGTTTCGGGGGGTGCGGGCGGTGGGGGAACGGGAAGAAAGAGCATCATGGACGTTGTCGTCGGATTGAACGTCACCTGACTCCACGCTCCAGACCCGAACCTCACCGCCTCGCCCACCTCCCCCACAAACGAACTACATCTCCCACCGTGCTCTGCGGCTGGTGGGCGTGTCCGCACTGGCCGCCTGGGCGCCGTCCCCTCGATATATCTCGAGGTAAACAAACTGAGGAGGGAGGGAAAGGGGGGGGGAAAAAAAAAGCGAACGAGAAGAGGAGAGGGTGAGGACAGTTAGGTCGGGACTGGACTGCACTTGGACGCTCGGCACCAGCAACCGCTCCTCTCGCTTCATATATTTTTATATATATGTGTGTGTGTATATATAAAAAAAAACCAAAATATATTTTTTAAAAAAACCGTTTTTTTAAAAAAAAAATCGTTATTCCTCTTTAACGTTCAAAAAAAAAGCCATCCGCATATAAACAAACAGCACGGCCTAACAACAACAACAACAACCGCCGCCGCCGCCGCCGCCCGAAATCATCATCGTCGTCATCATAATATTAATAATAATCATGAACGGAGTACAATTAATCAACATCCAGACGCTGCTGGAAGCGGCCGAGTACCTGGAACGGAGAGAGCGAGGTAAACCGCCAGCCACGGCGAGAACGGCGCCCGGGGGGCGGGGGGGGGGATTCAAACCGGGGCCGGGGTTCGAAACGGTCCCAACTGCCACTCCGAACCGCCGCGAGCCCGGCGGCCGTTTTGAAGTGGCAGTCGGTCAGGCGTTGTGTGAGTGAGTGAGTTGAGTGAGTGAGTTGAGTGATTTGAGGTGAAAACTGCGACCGACCGACCGACCGTCCGTCCGGACTGACTTGACTTGACTTGACTGACTGCCACCGCCGGCAAAAAAAAACAAAACAAAAACAAACCCAACAGCCTCAGAAGTCCTGATAGCAGTAGTGGTAGTAATAATAATAATAATACCTCTCCTAATAATATTAATAATAATAAAGAGGAATATCGTCACGCGCCCGAGAAGAAGGGGGAGAATTTCAACAACAACAACGACGACGACGACGACGACAAAAAAAAAAGGCGCCTCTTGTGTTTTGTTGTTGTTCCCCTTTGCAGAAGCCGAGCACGGCTATGCCTCGGCGCTGCCCTGCGACGTGGAGGCGGTGAGGAAGAAGATGAAAACGAAGAAGAATTCGAGCAATAGGTGAAGTAAAACGGGTTAACATCGGGAGGGAGTGAGGGGCGGGGGAGGGGGGGGTGGGGAGGCTTAAATAATAATAATATTATTAATATTAATAATGATCAATAATAAGCCCATGTTGAGGTCGCTGACTGACTGACTGACTGACTAACTGTACCCGCCATTTTTTTTAATCTACTGTAATTGTTCAAAAGCCGACGCTTTTCGGTCCGTTTCCCCCCTCTCTCTCTCTCTCTCTCTCCCTCTCTGTTTCAGAAATAAGGGCAAATAAAATGCTTCTTTTTTTTGTAGCCGTCAGGTTTTTCTCCCCGAGGCTGAGTACCGCCCCTCCCCCTCGCCCCTGCCTTGTTGTTGTTGTTGTTGTTGGAGGGAAAACAGCGAGAGAGAGCGGGGGTGGGGGGTGGTGTGGGAGGTTATTTGGTTGTTATTTAGTGGGAAAGGCTTTCTAGCGCCCTCTGCGATCAGCTGATTGTCAGATTTACCTTCTCTCTTTACGTATGTATTTATTTTTTTATTATTTTTTTTTAAAAAAAAACACGTGAAACTTAAGACTCGGGAGGAGACTTGACCGGATTTCGTCCACAAAACCCTGTCCGTTCCCTCGTTGTACATGCTCTTTGCAGTATATTCTGTGAAGCGCTTTGAGACGTGTATATTGTAACGCCTCAAAGACGTCTCAAAGCCGTGAAAAGTCGCTACATCAAATGTAAGGAATATTATCGTTATATAAAATCTCCCATCTGTGTCTATACAAGTCAGATGTCAGCACCCACTCGCTTGACTCGTTTACCTGCAGTTCTTCTTTGCACGCTTTTATTTTAGACCAACGATTTCTTTGAAAGCAAAATGTATTTCTAAAAAATCCTCTTTTGCAAGCGTGTTGGGACTGATAAGTGTGAAGGGATCATGTGCGAATACTGTACCAAGCAATTGTTGTAATGCTATAAAGGGCTTTGTTGTATTTAATTTTTTTAAGTTCAGCTTGGGGTGATGTTATCTTCTGGTCTGTTAAGATCTTTGCAAATTCCTTGTTTTATAATGAACTTTAATTTTAAACCCAAACATTAAAACAATTGGAAGCCTGTGGTTAATGATTAGCCTATGGTATGTAGAATTTGGAAATGTTTTGACTGCATACTCAAGATGAAATGTACGGTTCAGAATAAAAATAATCTAGACTTGTTAATGAAAGGTTTTAGTGTCTAATTATATCATAAAATTGTTGCTTTCGAATGCATGTCAAGGTATGCATCTCAGAACAGGTTTTGGCATGTTGGACTCGCTCTCTCTGCACCCTCCCCGCCCCCCTCCAGGACTAGTAAAATTTACCAGTTTTGCTTTCAAGAAAGTGGCCCCTGATTATGCAAATACATTTTTTTCAAACTAAGTCTTAGTGTCACTAGTTAAAGAGTCAGTGACACTCAGATAAATAACTTTGCAGTCAGCTGCTAAAGTTTGGGTACTTTGCCAGCCAATGAGCGACACTACTAAGGCCTGATTATAGCAAGGCAGTAAAGTGGAGCCAGGATTTCTGTTATTACCGATAGAGCATATACCTCTTCATGTTGGTTAATGTAATTAATGCTTGTAAAACTTCAAGATCTATACACTTAATCTAACATATTCCTGTCATGATGTCTAGGAAGCGTTTTAAACTTGCTCTAGCACTTCTGCATCACATTTTAAATAAGAATCCTTGCGGTTGTTATTTTTCCAGACAATACATTTGTTTGTTGTCAGGCAATGCACATAATTGCTGTCAAGATGATAGATTCGAGAATAAAAATAAGATGTAGTGATTTTGTTATTACACATCAGTCTTCTGTAGAGCAGGCACAGCTTTGTACATTTCAAAACTAGAATATTACCAGCAAGAAGATGCTAAGTCCAGTTGCTTCATTTTCTGTGTGTTGTGGGCTGGCTCAGTACCATGTGGCTGAGCGGTACAGGCCATGAAGGTGTCTATGCTGAGTTTGCTCATCTCAGCTCGGGATTGTGGCAGAGCATTCTAATTGGTCTCCTCATCCCTAGGCTAAGGATGTGAAAAATGAGCCATGGTTACTATCTATTGACTCCTTCTGGAAAAATGTGTGGGGATGTTGATGTCTGGTGATAGAGCAGCTCAACTGAAACAGGACACCCCTTGCTGCAATCAAAACGTTTCTAACACTCACTGCCTAGACTTGTATATGGAAAATGTCCACCTGTGTAAGGTGCAGAATGTTGCCAGTGTTTGAAGTACCAGTCACTGTTATCATAAGCAGAGCAGAAAATGTGTTTTTAAAAAAAATATATCCACCGGTTCTATTAAATTCACTCACGTATCCAAATTCAGTAGTTTTTTAAAACTTTTTTAATTTACAGCAAAAGACACTATACAGATTGCATGATGAGTACATGTGCATCATACGTTCACATTGGGTAGAATATTTGTATGAGTTTGTAACTGTAGGAAAGAAGCCGTTCACTAAATAACTGATTTTTTTAAAAAATCCCCAATTATTTAAATTCAATTCAGAGAATTTGTAGTTCTTATGGAAGAGGTAGATTTTCAAGACACCATGCAAAGTAACTCATCAATTTCTGTTTTATAGGTCTACACACAATGAATTAGAAAAGAACCGGTAAGTAGCTTATAGGATTGCCAACTCACTTATGATAAATATAGCTGGGTATATTGCTGAAGATTTTATTTATAAAATGTGGAATGACATGTAACTATTTTATCATGATAAAAGCAAAATATCTTCAGAACATAGTGGCCAAGTTCTTATTTATGGATTCAGCTTGAAAAAGATTTTTTTAACGACAGAGTTACTCAAAATGAAAGTAGAAGTTTGACCTACTTTCCAGATAATCTGTATGCAGAGAACTAGTTGCCTTTTTTTCCACCAACATGCTGAACTCTGATTGGGTTCACATGATGGTGTTGTTGCTAATGTATCAGGTTACTGAAGCACTGTTGGTGAGTTCTTATGAAGAGGGTAAAACAAATTGAATGGCCTCATCATTCCAGAAGCAGAACTGTTTACTCTTCAGAAACAATCCATCACACGTAATGGCCTGCCTTTTCAATGGACTGGTCTAAGTAGAAAGGTACAGAACATTATAGCATTTTGTGGGCCTTACATGACTCACTGAGTCATGTTTTCTTCAGAGCAATTTTGNAAAAAATATTGAAATCAGCATAGTCCAAAATAAATGTTTCTTTTTTTCACAAACTTTTATGTTTATTGCACCCAAAGTGTCAGTTGTGGAAAAAATGTCAAATGCAATGTCATTACAGAATACTCCAGGTCAGGTATAGAACAGCTCGATGCAAACTAAAGTTCCATCACTTTGTAACAGTGTTTCTTAATGCCAACCTCAGGGCTCCCTTACCTGCACTAGTATAACATTTCCATTGCTTATGCCTTATACGGGCTTTTGAAGTTTTAGGAATTATTTTAGTTGATGCCAAATGCACATTTGATTGGGTTGAGACTATGAGACTACACAAAGGAACTTTCAGGTAACAGAGAGAAGACTTTGACCTATCAGTTTTGCTGTATTTGAACCCAGATCATAAATGTGGAACAGTACTGTCTTACTGTCACACAATGCTCCAGGTTGGATGATTTAATGAGAAATCCCTCACTGTTCAAATTATATTCTAATTATCATATAGACCGTAATCACCATTGCAAGTGACACTTTTCATATTCTTTACGATTGTCTTAGTTGTTTACACTCCATTTTGCTGCAGTGAAGATACGATAAGGACTGATGGCGGGGGAGAAAACCGGTTGGATAAATTGCAAGACACGCTGGGAAGCAGGGACTGCAGAACATAAACCATTGAATTACACAGGCCGCAGATCAGGGCTGTCAGCTCAGTTGTAAGCGGTTTATGTCCTATAATTCATAGCTGAACTGGTATATGTTTTTGTCTATTGTGTGTCATTAAAATTGGTTATTATTTTTGTGAAGGTGTTTGTTGTGCAGAGGAGGAGTAGGTTGGTGGTTTGACACAGTTGGCATTAAAGTCTTATAAATGTCCCATGTTGATACTGTAGTTCTGTGTGTATTTAATCCCATTTTTCACCTAGTTCAGTCTAACCCATATATTCTGAGTGTGAATATTCTCCTTTAAGGTTAGTATTTGGGATCAGAGATGGAACATCTAGTATCATTTCTACAATTTTGCCTCCTGAAATAAGTTAACTTATTAAGGAGGCAATAAGTTGTTATTTCAGCTAATGATGTTACAATTTGGGAGGCTATATTTCATGGCGTTTGTAAATGATGTGCCTCTGTTAGAACTCTAATCCAATTTGTTGTGGAAGGGAACAGTTGCCTTTACAATCTGCAGTAGGAGCGCACCACGGTATTTAGAGTAGCTTTGAATACAATGTTAAAACCATGGTATCCTATCTGCCTGTTCAGGTGGATGTTAAAAGTGCATTTGACTATATTCTTCCTTCATCCAAATTCATTCCCCATTTAACTGGTCAATCATTTCAATGCTGTTTGTGGGATGTTGCTGGTGTAAATCAGTTGCCACATTTGCTTACATGTTAACACTCATGGCATTTCAAAGTAATTCACTGATATTTTGAAATGTTTTCAGAATCAGAGGCTATATCAAATGCAAAGGTTATTTTTCAATTCGATTACTAAATCATAAATCATCTGAATTGGTAGTATGGGTCATATAGTTACATTTTGCCAAGTGTAAAGCCTGAGAGAGTAGGATAACAACAACAAATTACATTTGTACGCTTTTCACATCAGGAGGACGTCCCAAAATGCTGGACAGTCAGGGATCCACACCCGACTTGGTGGTTGGGATCAGGAGGGGTGGAAGGCAGAGAGGAAGGGGTGGGAGGATGACCAAAGGCACACGGTCAAAGAACAGGATCTTGAGACAGGTCTTGAAGGAGGCAAGAGAGGGGGTAAGGTGGAGGGACTGTGGGATAGAGTTTCAGAGGGTGGGGGCAGAGAGGCTGAAGGCCCGCTCGCCAATGGTGGGGTGGGCAAGTCGGGGACGTGAAGCAGGCCGGAGCCCGCTAAGTGGAGGGAGCAGACAAGTTGGTAGGGGGTTAGGAGGTCACAGAGGTAGGGAGGAGAAACGCTGTGGAGGGCATTGAGAGTGAGGACCTGAATCTTGAACTGTATCCTCTGAGTGATGAGGAGCTAGTGGAGCTGGGCGAGGATAGGGTGAGAGAGGACATGGGCTGAAGCGTTCTGGATGATCTCCAGCCCGTGGAGGGAGAAGTTGGGGAGGTCGACAAGGGAGTTTGCGTAGTCGAGCCTGGATGTAATGAATGCATAGATGAGGGTCTCGGCGGTCTTTGGTGAGAGACTGGCGGAGGCGGACAATGTTGTGGAGGTGGGAAAGGAGGAGCGGGTCATGGCATGGATGTGGGAGGTGAAGGACAGTTGAGTCGAACAGGACACCAAGGTTCTCTATTGGCATCCATGAAGGGAGATGCTGTCAGCACCCAAGGTATGGAGGCGCTGACGGGAGGCAAACAGGAAGGCTTTGGTCCTGTTGACATTCAAATGAAGAAAGTTTGCTCTCATCTAGGATTTGATGTCTAACAGACAGTCCGTGAGGACAGCAGTGGTCCTGGAGTCGAGGGTGGAGGTGGAGATGTAGAGTTGGGTGTCATCCGCATACATGTGGAAGTTGACCCTATGTCTACAAATGATATCACCAAGAGGGAGCATGTAAATGTTGAAAATGAGGGGACCAAGGACAGAGCCCTGAGGGACGCCACACGTGCCGGGTGCAGGGACTGGCGGAGAAGCCGTTAGTGGAGACAAAGTGGAGACGGTGGGAGAGGTAGGATTGGAACCAGGTATGGGCATGTCCGTGAAGGTTGAGCTGAGTGGAGAGGAGGTGGAGAAGGATAGAATGGTTGACAGTGTCGAAAGCAGCAGAGGGGTCGAGGAGGACAAGGAGGCAGAGCAGATGGTCAGAATGTCGTTAGTGACTTTGACCAGGGCTGTTTCTATGCTGTGGCAGCACGGAAACCCGATTGGAAGCGTTCATAGAGGAAATGGGGGGAGGAAAGAGTGAAGATGGGAAGCAACAACTTGGTCCAGGGCCTTGGAGAGGAAAGTGAGGTTGGAGATGGGGCGATAGTTGGAGAGTAGTGATGGGTCCAGGGAAGTTTTTTTAAGGAAGTGAGTGATGTCAGATAGGGGGGTGGGAACAATGCCAGTGGAGGTTAATGATGTTGATTAAAAGAGGGGCCAGAAGGTGGAGCTGCGAGTTAAGAAGAGGGGAGGGAATGGGGTCGAGGAAGCAGATGGTGGGTATCATTTTTGAAATGATGGAAGCAAGAGAAGAGGGGGAGATAGAGCCGAAGGTGTGCAGGGAGGAGGTGGGGAGGGTGTAACGGTAGATGGGGGGAAAGCTAGTAGAGCGAATGATTTTGGACTCAGGAAGTCCAACATCTCGCATAATAGTGCCTTCGTTGCCTTGTCCTACCCCACCTCTGACCTTCTGCAATCACTCTCCCTTTACTCTGCTAATTCAGCTATTTTGCACCCTGCTCTCAGTAACACTTGCCAAATCCCTCTGAGAAACTGCTTTTAGTCACCATCCTCCTTCCCCCCCCACCACTTCCATTCCATGTCTGTAAAATGCTTTTAAACTTCATGCTACATTAAAGGTGCAAACTAAGTGCATGTTGTTGTAACTGCTCAGCGTGTCACTTATGAAGCCTGCTTGTTAGGATTGAGGATATGCCCAATGCACTACTATCTGTGTATGCCAGGCTTCTCTTTTCTCACCAGCTTCCAGACCCAGGGAGAACCAACTCACCTTCCTCACAGGGAAGAGATGTTTAGATCTGATTCATTACCTCCATGGCCCATATTAATTATATACTAATAATCCTTGCATTTGATATAGTGCCTTATCACGTTGTCGAGATGTCTCAGAGCGCTTCACAGACTATATTATAAAGTGGATTGACTATTTTGTGGGCGAAATGCAACAGCCAGTTGCGCACAGCAGTGTCCCACAAACAGTCGTGGATTGAGTGACTACATTAGTTTGTTTTGTTCAGGAAGCCTCTGCGACAATTGTAAAATCATAGATTCCCAGTTTACGAGGCAAACAGCATCAGTTAAATATCTTAATTGCTGCTGATTGTTATACCACTTGTAGAAAGAAAATTACAACTCCTGCATTAAAGAGATGAAATATTCATACCACTGAAATTCCAATTATCCTCTTTAAAAATAGTTGCATTGAATGCAATGCTGTTCATGATGGTAGGAAAATTGGCCCAAACATTTTATTTAGAATGGCCATTTTTTATGCAATATTTTCTGCTACTTAATGCAGCATCAAATTAATCTTTCCCTCACCTTGTGCTAAATTTCCTGTAAATGAAAGTTTCTCTAAATCTAAAATGGAAGTGTAGAATCGGAAGTGAAGTTGATTGGAATAAATTGATGCATTCAGCTAGACTGACACGGCCAGTCAGCTTTAAAATCATGATCTTGGGAAAACCTTGTTTGGAACTGAATGCAGTGTTTTAAAAGTTATCATTTTTAAAATGTAAATTTAAAATCATGTGTTTTTATTTTTTTAAAAAAATCAGGTACTGTTAAGATGTTAAAGTTC